AGGTCCATATATGATCACGGCGCCCTAAAATGTTACCAAACATGGTCACGAACGCACCGCAGACCCCGGAGCTCTCCCGGCGAGGAGGAACCCGAATGGGGAGGTGGGGGTGGACGACACCGTCGGTTAAGAACCGGTTCTCCCCCCAACCTCTTCCTGCTTGGCTCCCCAGGGCCGGTCGTAACAACAACGAGAGTCACAATTAACGGCCGTATTTATCCTACAGACTTCGAGTCCTACAGCGTTGCTCGAGAGATGTCATCCTTGGTATGGACTTCTTATGCCTCCATGGTGCTGTCATCAACCTAAAAACAAAGTCGATAACGTTATCCACAGAAGAAGCACTACCGCCACGCACACCGTAGGACACCATGCCTTGAATGTGCTGGAAGAACAAGTCACCATTCCGCCTCGCTCAAGCGTCATTATTTCAGTCGGCACTCCTTAATTACCTGACTTGGAAGGCGTCGTTGAAGGCAGTCAGCATCTGTTCGTCACCCGAAATATTTGAGTTGCAAGAGGAATTGCAGAGCTGCGGCGAGGCAAAGCAACGGTTATGCTCACGAATTTCAGCAATAAAGACAAACATGTTAACAAAGAAACAACGGTCGCATACATCGAAGAAATTGTCGAAGCCACCAGTGCTTTCGCACTCGCCGATTCTGCGGAACCTGCTCAGAGGAACCAAGCCCCTCGCATAGCTTTCGACGTCAATCCCAGACTTCCGAACGATAAGCAAGAACAGCTCAAGGCCCTGCTCCTACAATACGAAGATTGCTTTTCGTCGTCATCAAAAATTCGGCAGACCCCAATCACGAAACATCGCATCATAACCGAAGAAAATGCGAGACCACTCCGTCAGAGTCCGCACAGGCTTTCGACGCAAGAACGTGAGGCCATGAAGAGACAAGCTGATGAAATGCTGCGGGATGACATTATCCAGCCGTCCAAGAGTCCATGGGCATCACCCGTGGTGTTAGTGAAGAAAAAGGATGGGACCCTACGTTTCAGCGTCGATTATCGCCACCTGAACAAAATTACAAGAAAGGACGTGTATCCTCTCCCACGAATAGACGACGCACTTGATCGGCTCCATAACGGCAAGTACTTTTCGTCAATGGACCTCAAGACTGGCTATTGGCAAATCGAAGTCGACGAAAGAGACCGAAAGAAGACGGCGTTTATAACACCGGACGGCCTCTTCGAGTTTAAGGTGATGTTCTTCGGCCTTTGCTCAGCGCCTGTAACTTTTCAACGTTATGGATACAGTACTGGCAGGATTGAAGTGGCAGACTTGCCTTGTGTACTGGGACGACGTCGTCGTGTTTTCCTCAAGTTTCGACGAGCATCTTCGGCGCCTTGAAGCTGTACTTGAAGCCATCAAGACTTCCGGACTCGCACTGAAGCCAGAAAAGTGCAGATTTGCGTATGAGGAGCTCTTGTTTCTGGGGCACGTTATCAGCAAGTCTGGAGTTCGTCCCGATCCACGGAAAACAGCCGCCATCGCCGACTTCCCGCCGCCCACTGACAAGAAAGCCGTGCGCCGATTTCTGGGCCTGTGCGCCTATTATAGGCGGTTAGTGAAAAACTTCGCCCGCATCGCCGATCCTCTCCGCCATCACCGACTTCCCGCCGCCCACTGACAAGAAAGCCGTGCGCCGATTTCTGGGCCTGTGCGCCTATTATAGGCGGTTCGTGAAAAACTTCGCCCGCATCGCCGATCCTCTCACTAACCTTACCAAGGCCGACGTGGAATTCAAGTGGGAAACGCCACAGGAACACGCTTTCCAGGAGCTTAAACATCGCCTCCAGACACCTTCGTTACTTGCCCATTTCGACGAATTCGACGAGACAGAAATGCATACTTATGCAAGCAGTGTAGGTCTTGGCACCGTTCTTGTGCAGAGGGCTGACGGACTTGAAAGGGTTATTAGTTACGCCAGCCGATCGCTATCCAAAGCAGAAGCAAATTATTCCACAACAGAACAGGAGTGCCTCGCCATCATCTGGGCTACGTCGAAATTACGCCCCTACCTCTACGGCAGGCCCTTCAAAGTTGTGAGCGACCACCACGCCTTGTGTTGGCTAGCCACCTTGAAGGACCCTTCAGGTCGCCTCGCACGATGGAGCCTGAGACTTCAAGAATATGACATTACTGTCATTTACAAGTCAGGCAAAAAACACTCCGATGCCGACTGTCTCTCTCGTGCGCCTGTCGACCAACCGCTACCCCACGACCCGGATGACGACTACTTCTTGGGAGCGATAACTACCGACGACTTCACTGAATGACAGCGGGCCGACCCGGAACTTAAGGCCCTAATAGAATACCTCGAAGGCAGGACCGCCCAAGTCCCGAAGGTATTCAAGCGCGCATTTGCGTCGTTCTTTCTACGAAACGGTCTTCTACAAAAGAAAAACTTTTCACCGCTTCGAGCTAAGTACCTCCTTGTGGTGCCTTCAGCTCTGCGACCAGAACTCCTGCAGGCCTTGCACAACGATCCGACGGCAGGGCACCTCGGTGTTTCTCGCACGCTCCCGAGGATGCAAGAAAGATACTACTGGCCACATCTTACCACCGACGTCACTCGTTATAAAAGGACATGCCGGGACTGTCAGCGACGCAAGACACCGCCGACAAGGCCAGCGGGACTTCTGCAGCCAATTGATCCACCTTGCCGACCTTTCCAGCAGATTCGTATGGACCTACTGGGGCCGTTCCCGACGTCGGCTTTCGGAAACAAGTGGATCGTGGTAGCCATCGACTACCTCACCCGCTACGCCGAGACAAAAGCCCTGCCAAAAGGCAGTGCACCCGAGGTAGCTGAGTTCTTCAACGAAAATATCGTCCTACGTCACGGCGCCCTGGAGGTCCTTATCACCGACAGAGGAACGGCATTCACTGCCGACTTGACTCAAGCGATCTTGGCATACAGCCAAACAAACCACCGCTAGACAACAGGGTACCACCCACAGACCAGCGACCTCACCGAGCGGCTTAACAAGACGATCGCCGCAATGCTGTCAATGTACGTCGATGTTGAACACAAGACGAGGGACGCCATTCTTCCGTATGTGACCTTCGCATACAACACGGCGGTGCAGGAGACGACACAGATATCTCCATACAAATCGGTCTACAGAAGGAGCCCGGCAACGACGCTCGATGCCATGTTGCCCAACGTCACCGACGAAGAAAACCTCCATGTGAGCGAGTACCTTCAACGCGCCAAAGAAGCCCGACAACTTGCGCGTCTCCGTATCAAGAATCAACAGACGACCGACAGCCACCGTTACAACCTTCGACGACGGTTCGTGGAATACCAGCCCGGTGAACGTGTTTGGGTGTGGACGCCGATACGTCGACGTGGACTAAGTGAAAAGCTTCTGCGACGGTACTTCGGACCGTACAGGATGGTTCGACGTCTCGGCCCACTTGATTACGAGGTTGTCCCCGATGGCATCACGAACTCTCAACGACGCCGATCGCGACCTGAAGTCGTCCATGTCGCGCGCCTCAAGCCGTTCCATGCGCGTTAACAAACTAAAACAGTGTTTTTTTTGTATTATTGTTGTATCGTAATTTATTCATTGTACTTTTTTTATTATTGTACCTTCATGTTTAGTTAAAGCATCGGGACGATGCCTTTTTTCAGAGGGGGGCAATGCCACGTTCCATTTCCCAAGTTTTTGTTATTGTCCCAAAACACCACACGATTCTCAGCGCAAACCGCACCTGCAGTTTTCGAGAAGGTTCCGGACTGTAGTAGATCATTTCGATAAGATCACGCCCACTGCGCGAACGGTACAGGTTGTTCTGGAACCTACGCCACCGCCAGCGATAACGCTAGAACATTCAACGGCAAGAGTATAAATGCCGACGCGCTTGGCCGCTTGTCAGTTGTTGATCAAAGGCCGACGCTCCGTTCGCCGCTATCAGTCTGAGACTGCTATCTGTGCGAGACTGCTGCTGTAATTGGACTTTCCGTTTATTAGGCACAGGTTCGCCCAAATAAACAGTTTAATCCCAACACGAAGTCTCCAGTCTTCGGCCACGTCACGACCCCGTGACAATATTTGTAGCCATACATTGCTAAAATTAATGAAGCTCATGCACACTCACTCATTTAATATGTCTTTTTCACTTTGGACTCACTAGAGCCCAGCCTAACCAAAATTTTATTTAAGCGAACTCACTAAGACTCATGAATATTTTTGTCAACCAGGCTCCCTCGAACTTACCAAAGTTTTCCACAAGCGGGCTCACTCGGACTTACTCAGATGCAGACTCAGGAATGTTTTTGTAAACTGGACTCACTTAGACTCGTCTAAATATAACACAGCCAAACTCACTCAGACTCACGCCTTAATATCTCGAATCTAGGGTGAGTTTTGCATCCTATGGTTCCCTGTGCCACTGCAATAAAATCTTCATCACAATGGGATTGGCCGACGAAAGACAGGCAAAGGGTGTCACATACACTGGTAAAGTTAAGGGCTGATAGATGCTAGCATCTCAACCGTTCATCCTGAAACGATTCCATTTAGGATGCTCGGCAAGCAGTTACAGGTACCATGGCACCAATACAAGGAAGTGAATAAGAGTCAGCACAGAAAAAATGCTAAATCAGGTCAGGAGGGGCACCGTTTATAAAGACAGAACCACTCAGAGGCGCGTGGCTGAGGGCGTTGTTGTAGCTTACTTCACATAAGCTACAAGCTTTTGTCGGTGCTTTATTTACAGCACAGTGGCCTAGCCAACAGCCCAACTATGCTAGGTGCCTTTACAGCCTCGACATTTGCACATTCCTGCAGAAAATGGCCCCCGAACCAACTGGCTGGGACAAGCATGATTCTGTCTGTATAGACATTTCATTACGCTGATGGGGTTTAGTATCCAAAATCAACACCAAGGCTGCAGCGGGGTGCTCTAGATTCTGTTTGACCTCTAGGGTATGTACACTCCGAAAGTTTGGCCAGGGAAACAGCACAGAACTCACCTTCCCCATAAATGAGGCGACGCAGTGCACGCTGCCCCACATATGTGACCAAAGCTGTAGTGGCAATAAGAACAGCTGGTTCGGTCTGTTGATACCTGGCATTAATCATGTCTCGGTGGAAGCAGACAAGACCGCACACCCGCCAGAAGGCATACAGCAGGCTCTCCTTCTGCACGAGAGGCGTCTCTTCACTGTGCGCACAAGGAAGACTCATTCGAAGCCAGTCTTCACAGCTAAGAGAAAGAGCATTTACTTGTTTTCTTTCTTATGCATGCTTAAATCCAGCAGCAGTGACAAAGGTTCAGGACAGCTTCACTTACTAGAAGAATACCGTTTGTTTGCTCTCTCAAGCAAAACATTTTCTAACTTTCAAATCGCATATGTACCAGATTTGTGTCAACTAAATTTTATTTCATTTTTCTTCAAATACAATTTAAAAAATGGAGCCCTGAACAACAAGTAAAACTGTTCCCCTGATAGAAATTCGCCCCCGCCCCCCTTACAGGGCATACAGCATGAGAGCGGGCACAGCAGAAAGAAAAACACCAAGCACAAGCATCTGTGTTACCAAACACCACATGGTCGTGCATTTAGTTTTTTTTTCCTTGTTTTTGTGTAAACTAAAGCATACTTTACAGGCACACCAAAAACACAAAACTACATGCTATACTTACAAAATGATGCACAGGGATTATGCTTACATTTTCCACACAAGTAGAAATGAGAACTCTGTAAAAAAAAGGAACCTTGCCACAGGTTCAAAGACATTTTTTTCTGGCAGATCTCATATTTTCTATCAAGTAGTTCTCAAAGTTTGTAACAGCATCTGCTCACTTATAATTAAATGAGCATATGGATGGTTGCTAGCTGGGTAGTTCATTTTCTGTCAATATATGTAAGAGCGCATAAAACTAATTGATTTATTGATATGTAGGATTTATTGTTTCAAAACCACCTTATGATTATGAGAGAGACTGTGGTGGAGGGCTCCAGATTTTTTGACTGCCAAAAGACTGCCCAAAGAGAGAAGAGTGCTCTTTACTCTCCGTTCGTGCCGTCTTATCTTGCAAAAGAACTTGTTGTTGGGCTAGTTGATAGAGCATTTCAGGACACGCACAATGTGTCCTGTATATATTCAAGCCTTCGAGCTATGAATAAATCAGTTGGAAGTGGGCGCTGTGTTTGTTTGATGCATGGGTGGGTGCGTGTGTGAGTGATCGTGTCAAGTTTTCGCGCTCGAATTAACTTTTCGAAACGTCTTATCTAGTTTTATGCGCTGTTACATATGTTGAGTACATAAAGTAATCCAGTTTCGGAAATGGAAATCAGAATTTTCGAAAAGAGATCAGAGAGTATTTATCACTGAGCTAATGTATAAACTGTTCCATCAGAAAGTTTAAAACAATGTATCTGAGGGCTAAATTGTATGTGCAGAAGTTGTAAGCAGTACTTTTCGGAAAACGTGTAAATAGCTGTTTGGTGTACTCCAGCTTTGTGACGAAAAGTTTTTTTTGTGTGTTTGTGTGTGTAGCATATATAAGTTATTTATGCTTGTGTTGACATGCCCCAAACAAGAAAAGAGTAGCTCATCCGACATGAAAACAAAGCACGATAGAGCTGCAGTTTATCACCATATCGAATCAAATAATGTGATTTCGCAAGTAGACCTACAGTTTGAGAAACAATTTTTTTATGAAAGTACAGTCCAAAACTTTTGACAATGTCAACATTATCTATGGTGAAATTCTAAAAACTAAAGCATGCCGTTAGCAAAGGTTTATCTGGGCTGGTAAAAGTACGACTCCGTTTGACATTTGAGCTGATGCGAAGCGTGTGCAAAGACGCGAGCACAGCCTTTCTGATGAGGGCCATGTGACCACTAACATGTTAGGCAGCAAGAACTGCTTTTATTTTTAAATCTACACCAGACCCACTGAACTCCACCGATGAACGCACATACATGAGATACCAATCCCTCAAGGCACACATCTCGACAAATCATAACTTCCATATAACACCTTGAAGAGATATCGAACAAAATTTTCACTGCCAAGATAAATGGCACAATTATAAAATTGGGTACTTGGGTACAAAATTGTGTTGACACAACCTTAATTTCAGCCAGGAATTGGCAAAACATAATGAACTTAATCAATTTCTCGCAAAATGGCTTGTCTAGTGGCTGCGCCGTTAACTAGACAGGAAGTTTTGGGACACCTGCCGGATACTGACATCACACCAACCGTGCCCGCTGCAAAACCAATAGACATTGCAAGCCGCCACTGCAGCTGCCCCAGCCTCACAAAAATACCTCGAGAGAAATCTAGCGCCACCATATATACAAATTTATTAAGAGGCACCATTGAAGCACTGAGAATGACAGTACATGTGTCTCCAAGACTTGTGTTGGCTAGTATTGAGCGAGGCTTTGGCTCAAAAGCATGTACAACTTGTCAAATAATGCTTCTTCAAAACAATACCTTTATAAGTGGATATCTTCATTGGATGCATGTTATGGATGCAAGAAAGTGAATGCAAGAAATAAACAGACAGTGAACAGTGCCAGAGGGAATGCTGGCTTTGTCATCTGCCTGGCAAGTTTAGCAGCCATTTGTTACCATTTAAGCTTTATGAAATTGTACATCAACGCAAAAGTTTCTAATGATAAATAAAACTCATTTTCGTGCAATCATATGAAATAAACAGCTCGCTAGGTACTCTTTCAGTGAGAAATCAACCATTCTAACAGGAACGTGTTCAAGCCAGACGCATCTTTGAGGTGTCTGAGCTATTCTATGTGAGCGATACATATGCAGGTGAAGCTTGAAGCTCTTATATCCTGGCATTCGCATGCGTCCAACAGCTCGCAGTACCATCAAGCAACTCTATGGCCCCAGCCGCCCGCTTCTGCATATTGCTCTCTCAAAACGCGGTCAGCCATCAGATGACCAACAACACCATAGCCGCACTGTAGCTCTCAGCTACATATTTGTTTTCTCAAACGGAGCTTGTAAACACGTCTACAAATGTGTGGTTTGTGTTGTGTGCTGCTACATAATGTGAACGGTGAAGCGCTTTGCACAACGCAGAGAGCCTGAACACTGCTCTGCGCTAGGGTGTGCAAAAAGCGGCATCTGGAGAGACAAGCCCTGTCACGCCTTTCCGACCGAGCCTAACATTCTAAGGATATAGATAGTGACTATGAGAAAAGCTACGAGATGTTGCTGAAGCTCAGCATGTCAGCGAAACAGCAATACCTAAAGCTTGGTGCTGCCCCCTCCATTTTCTCACCGCAAGTGGAACCACTGTCAAGGCTGAGACAGACTATACGATTTTCTGGAGTGCACGAGCAATCAGAGGCGGCCTCCAGCCACTCATGGCGTCTCGGCATGCACGCTTGAAAGATGAATCAACATATTTGCACAGCGCAAGACGAGTAGTTACAACGTAACTACGAAAGAAGAGACAAGGACAGAAAACTGCACTGACTTCAAATGAAATTTTATTCGCGAAAACGCTGGAAATATATAATTGTGACAAATAGCAGCACATCACAGCACAATCGCGCAACTTAGTGCGTCACAGCCAGACAATCGTTATCTCATTAAGTGGGTACAACACCACACCTCAGTGCAAACTCAGAATCTATTGCATCAAAGCCAGATACTCGATTTCTTTTTTGGTGAGTGCAACCAACGGCACGCTGATACATTGATTAAATAAAAAATCGAGTATCTGGCTTTGACGCAATAGATTGCGAGTTCGTGCTGAGGTGTGGATTTGTACCTACTTTCCACTTAATGAGATACTGATTGTTTCACTGTGATGCAAGAGGTTGCGCGATTGTGGTGTGATATGCTGCTTTCTGTCATGAGTGTATATGTCATGAATATTATTTCCAGCATTTTCGCTAATAAAATTTCAGTTGAAGTCAGCGCTCTTTTCTGTCTTCTTTTCTTCCGTAGTTACACTGCAAATACTCGTAGTCTTGCCCTGTGCAAATATGTTGATTCCCAATCATCTACAAGCCCAAGCTAATGATCTGTCTTATCATTACAAGATATGCCTTATCTCGTAACAAAGCACAAAGCAAACACCTTTGCAAAGCCAAGTTTCATTCAATAAAAACATAATGAATGAAAATGCACCTTCGTGAACGACAAGCACATTGCAGCAGCGGCAACCCTGTCCCGTCACTCACCTCACCTATAGATAGCCCTAGCAAGGCAGGCTCCAGCCGTCACAACACAATTAGGCTTTGCACCCTTATATAACGCATCCGCATACACTATCAACTTTCTCGACATGATTGACATGAAGAGTCAAGGTGGAGCCAAAAGGAGCAGGCTCACCAAGATGCCGTCGTCGCTGTGTGTACCTGTGAAATAGCCTTGCAGGGCTGCTCGCAATATCGTTAGTGGTTTCAAAAAAGGCGCTGTCTTCCAAAATGGCCCACTTGAAACATCACTTTATTCGATCCGGAATTATTTCACATCACAAGCTAAATGTACTCTACGAATATCATGCCGCCCAAGTGGCAACTTTGGCAAATGCTCGGAGGCTTGACTCCATCGATTCGCCTTGGCCACATTGGGGGCAGAAGGGACACGGCTCAACGCACACTCTGAGTAGTTCTTGACAGGAGAGGTCGAGAAAGGCAAGTAGTTGGCCGAAAGAAAGCAAGCCGATTGCCCCCCTCTTACTGGTGCATGTGCCGTGCAGTCGCCGCACTCTCAATATTCACTAAAAATACAGCTATCTGCTCAAAATTTCGTGGAATAAATGCTGTTTATAGGAGCAGCTGTACCATCTGAGTCGAACTTCAATGTTTCCAGTTTTTTTTTTTTTTTCAAAATCTTGTTTAATATTCCATTAAGATGCAAGACTAGCAAACACCGTCAACATGACGTTAGAGCAGCGCAAGTGATTATGCCCGTCCATCATATAAAACTTAGTTTTGCCTGTACCAGTTCAAACTTTATCCAAATGATCAAATATTCCAGTTGTCATGAGCGGTGCAGCCTGTTAAAGAACCAGTAAACAGGCTCAACTTTTTTTTTACACACTTAAAGAAAGCTCACCAGTAAACCAGAGCTATCACGTTTTCTGAACATTACAGTGCTGCGCACTCCGCAGACCCTCCATTCCGAAAAACAATTCCCATACCTG